CTCTTCAAATGTGGCAAATTTCACGTTTCTGCGAAATTCACACTCTGAGCTATGACTCGTCAAAGTTTTTCGCAATGTTAAGTCTATGGGATTTTTTTGGGCCGTTTTTCGCCCCTGGGGCGACCATCGTACCCCCGATCTCTTAGAAAAGTCATAGCACACCATTCCCGAACAGGCCGCACGTTTTGACACCTCATTCATGGGTCTGTGACAAAAACTGCGGGAGGAGTAGCGCGTCAAAAAGTGGCCAGAAGAATAATAATAAGAAGAATAATAATAAGTATGTGAGATAACAATAGTGTTGCTTCGCCATAGGCAAGCACCACTAATAAGAAGAAGAAGAAGAATAATAAGTATGTGAGATAACAATAGTGTTGCTTCGCCATAGGCAAGCACCACTAATAATAAGTATGCACAATAACACTAGTGTTGCTTTGCCATAGGCAAGCACCACTAATAATAAGTATGTGAGATAACAATAGTGTTGCTTCGCCATAGGCAAGCACCACTAATAAGAAGAATAATAAGTATGTGAGATAACAATAGTGTTGCTTCGCCATAGGCAAGCACCACTAATAAACATATGACGGAAGTGCAAAATACAGCCCAGGCTCATGGGAAAAAACATGGCTGTGACGACATTGCTGCATAATAATATTACGTTACTTTTTGCGTGTTTCACGTCACAACATAAAATGTTCAGTGCTGAGTGGAGCTTAAAATCATATATGTATCGCTGCAGTTCTGAAAGTAATTGTTTGATGAATGGCGCTAAAAGGTTAATGCTCTTTCTTGTTTAAAAATAACGTGTCTTAAACCCTAAACCTAATTGACAGTGTTAACAAAAGCAAACCTGAGATAAATACGCATTTGCTGAAGCAACCATGTCATATAATTTTTTTTTTTTTTTTTTTTTACTTTAAAAAGTAAGTGTTCAGGCTGCCTTTAAATGTTAAGTTTAGTCTAACTGGAGATGTGAAGGTGTACTAAGGGACAACTTGGATATTGAGTTGACTAAACGTTAAAAAATTAAGCAGCATGAACACTGTCTTTGTTACGTTTTTTTTTTTTTTTTTTTTTTTACAGTGTACAAGTCTTTCAGCCCTTTTACTGAGTGTTGTGACTTGTGTTTCACATCACTCTACATAGAGGGGAAAAAAGGTGTAAAAATTGTATGGGTAAAAACAGCTTGTCACTGCACTTAAAATGACATATTTGTACTTTTTTAACCACAAAAATGTTCATAACAGTACCTTAAGGTATATATGTACTGAGTACATAAGGTACTGAACTATTATGAACATTTTTATGGTAAAAAAAAGTACAAATATGTCCTTTTAAGTGCAGTGACAAGCTGTACATTGTACTCTGGTACCAATATGCACCTTTTATGAGTAAAAAGCTACTTTTTTACTTTTTTTCTCTGTGTGTACCCGAATGCTCTGCATCGGAAGTGCAATGCTGTACCAGGACATACTATCCTTCAAGGAATCATGAGAAAATTTGTCTTTGTTAATCAATAATCTGCCCCTGTAATTATAATTTGTGTGAAAAGGAATAAAAGTTGTTTTACTACCACTCTGGTGTTAACTAAACTGCAGTGAATTGTATACGTACATTTTCCAAAGAGTCTGTGGTAAAATATGTATCAGTTATTTGTTTAAATAAAAAATTAAATATTTATATAAAGATCAATCCACACCATGCTACAAAACTTGGTTTTCCAGGTTTCTTTATCAGAAAGGTGTCTCAAATGACAAAAGCAGTTCTTTTGTGAAGGAAATTGACAGATCTTCCCTGAGAGCCTGAAAATATATTCTTTAGGGAGGGAGAGAGGCAGAGAGCAGAGGTCAGGACCTGCTATGGGAAAAGTATGCAGGCTATGCATGCTCTGTTTGGGCCCAGGATCCCTGTGACCTGCCATTGTTCACCCTTTGACATTGAACTTGGAAGAGGGGAGCAGAAAGCAGGCTCGGCTCTTAAGCCCCGTAAAACACATACACACAAACATGCCACAACCCATAGTGCCCATCCCCAAGTCTTAAGGGCTTTTATCTCAACTGTCAACAGTTTAAAAAGCGGGATCCTTTTCTAAGGCTGGACTTTAATCACCTCTAGGTCAGTAAACATAAAGAGCTGAAGCAAGGGCAGAGAGATAGATAAAGAGACAGAGAGAGAGAGAGAGAGAGAGAGAGAGAGAGAGAGAGAGAGAGAGAGAGAGAGAGAGAGAGAGAGAGAGAGAGAGATTACTTTGTCACGTTGGTGTCAGTACACAAAGGAAAAGCAAAGAGTGCAAAAATGAAAGAAAAAAGAGGCTGTTAAAGTTATAAAACAGACACCCAAATGACCACACAAAGCCTGAGACAAAAGATAAGGCAGCTAACTTCCGTCATTTTGTCTGGGTTCTCTAAAGCAAACACACCTGGTGTTAATACTCATATGTGTACACATCCACACACATGTGGGCAGCGGCGTACAATAAAGGCACCAGGGTTTCTCAATTAAATACAAAAAGCAGCCTGTATATGAACTTGAAGAACCTTTTTTATGTGTTTATTCACACTTTTAAAAGTTAGACTATCAGTGTTATGTGCAAAAAGATTTATGAAAGTTTTAATGGTTGACAGTGCTGTTAGTGTTGTTAACTAAAACTATTAAAATAGTGTTTGGTAATTGAAATAAAGATTAGAAGAATAACTAATACTCTAAAAAAAAGCTGAAGTTCTAAAATGCATCATATAGAAAATATATACAAAAAATTGAATGACAAAAGCACATAGCAAAATTACTAAAACCTAAAACTAAAAATAAATAAAAGCTTATCAAAATATCCAAATATGAATACATACTACAATAGTAAAACCACTTAAATAAAAAAAATATATATATCAACAGATCAAATTAGACATGTATGTAGCTGAATGTAATAAAACCACAGTTAAAAGTAAAAGAATAACTAACACAAACAAAGTACCAGTTACTGCTTTGTTTGTGCATTGAGTCATAAATAGTAACTGCAGACTTTTGGGGAAGATTTTGCATTTAAATTTGGTCAAATGTGTTGAACAGAGCTGAGGGAACTACTCACTTATATTGGTAGCAAAAAAGCATAACCAATTTAAGTGAAATATTTAATAAAGAAACATGCAAAGGGAAGGTGTAGAACATTACAAATGACAGACAATCCAACTCTGTGGAAGTTCTGTGGCCGTAGATTCCGTGTGGGTCTGGACATTACAAAAACACACCAAGACAAACTGTACAGTTGTATTTCAAAATGCATTTTAAATGTATTTATTGACTCTTGATTCATTGCATAAGACATCCATTCTTTCAAAGATGACTGGAATGTTTCAGGTTGTGGGGGAGACAGGGACAGTTCAAAATAAAGAGGAAAACCCACTAACTATGAAACTTTACTGCATATCCAAAGGCCAGAGATCATAAAAGCACCTGTTCCTCATCAGTGTGTTATTTCAAAGAGGATTGCGTCAACAGACCATTGTATAGCCTTTTATCTGTGTAACCCCCACATAGCTTTTTTTCTTAGAAACTCATTTTTCAAGATCCATACATTAAAACGATTCACACTATATTATCCTGCCAAGTTAAGGAGAAAGAAAAACGGTGGCAGCATGCTGAGCTCAACTACAGGCATTTGTGTACCTTTAAAGTGAACAAGGAACAGTCTGGAAGTCTAGTCTCTATATAAATACTATCTTGACTACTCTTGATGAACAATTAAATCCAGATCCTCTCTACACATTGACATGGCGAACTGAAGTGTGTCACAATAGCTTTTGACAGACCATAAGTCAGCCCTATAAAATGTCAAACATACTCCTACAATCTCATTATAATGCATCCTGAAGAACTGTGTATGCCAAAGAGAGAGAAAGAAAAAAGAATCAGAAGAAAAGGAAATTCACATAACATTTAGTATTTACATAGTACATTGTAACCCCCCAAGAAATGAAGATGAGCGGCAAAAAAAAAATGGAACACTTTAAATTAATTTTCTGTTAAAAACACCAAAGTATTACAAAAAGAAACCCCAAAACATTTAATCATTAATTCATTTTAAAACATATGATAAAAAAGAAAATGGCTGATGAAGCAGCGGGTTTGGACTATATTCACTGAGATAAACATCATTACACTGTTCCAGTTTAAAGTCTAGCTTCTAAATGTACAGTCTTTTAAATTTTTTCCTTTTTAAGCTTCTTTTAAGTCCTTTTTCGTTGACCAAGATTTCTAATCTAACTCTATTTCACATACAATGTTGACACCTCATTCAGTTGTTCATATGAGAGGAAATATCTCTTGAGTGTCTCTTGTAAACTGGAAAAAAAAAATTGAACAGTGCAGGTTTTTTGTGCCATTGAAGAGCAGTTTTGTTTTATACTCAACCACCTGCCCGTAGATTAGCAGGACAGATACAGAGTTTTAGGCTGAGTGGCAAGTGCTATTCATAAAATTCACTATGGGATAATGTAGAGAATAAAAAGTCTGAATGTCAACTCGACGGGCACAAAATATGTGAACGTGGCTAAGTGCTTTGCTAATAAACAGGGGTATATACAGTACATAGCTTTAGAAACTGAAGAGTGTTGGATAAACAAAAAGTACTAGCAAGCAAGTTAATTCAGACTTTCATCCAATAATGTGTAAATGTCCTGAAATACTTTCCTGCATTGCTCCATCATAACTGGTCTTGCTAAACTACTTCTATTTCTAGCCAATCTGAGCTTAATTCAAAATTCAAAGGATTTTCAATCCTGCCAATTCTTTAACAGCTTACTCAGGTACTATATGTTAAAGTTTCCGTGGATGACCCTGTCAAGAAATTAATTCTATAAAAATGTACATATTTACATAATGTTCCATGTTACATGCACCAAATAGAAATGTATCAGTATAGTCCAATAAACTGGCTATATACTGAATAAAACACATTTTCAGGGATACTTTAAAAAAAAAAAGAAACAAAAAAAAGAAAGAAATGAGACCCTAAGTTAAAAGAAAACTTACTAATGTACCTGTACCAAAATCTCACCAAGCCAAAAGGCATGAAGATGCCAACAAAATAATCATACTTAAAGTAACACAACATATTATACTAGTAAATTATATACATAAGAACATATGCTGGATTCCTGCATTTAGCAAATTCACAATAGGTACTTGATGCAAGACCTAATTTTGCATTGAACAATATCCCCAGGCTTATGGCAAATGGCACACCCAAGGCACTCTTTTTTCACAAGCGACAATAAAAATGCAAACTTTTTTAGTATCTTAGTAAAATGTTACCGATCAATCTTTCCTTGGTAACCCTACAGTTTGTCTATACCCCTAATGAACAGTGTAAACCCCAGTGTGAATGTAGGTAGTCAAAATATTACAGGCTTAAATGACAAAATACAGCTAGGTATGATATGTAAAAATTAATTGTTTGCAGCATGAAATGTCCTGTTTGATAAAAGACAGTAACAACAGCAACACAGCTAATCCTTATCAATCAAGCTAATACACAAAAACATGCCAACCAGTAAGAAAAGAAGTACAAAACATTAAGTTATTGCACATTAGAGAGGCTCAGAGTCTTTTTCGGCCAAATTTCCGGCCAGCATAATTAACTGACACTGTGCTTAAAATATTTTTCTAGGACTGCGAAAGACATCATAAAATTTACTCTGTTTTAATTTCAATGCTTAAGGGCTGATCGTTGTGCCATTTTTTCATGTGCTTCTCCAGAGTGCTGTAGACGCTAAAAGGCATGTGGCATATCTCACATTTGTAAACGTCCTTGCCTGTCTGTCCATGCGTCTTCATGTGCCGTGTTAGCTTGCTGCTCTGAGCGCAGGCGTAGCTACAAAGCTCACACTTGTACGGCCTCTCGCCAGTGTGGCTGCGGCGATGCACTGTCAAGTTGCTGCAGTTTTTGAAGACCTTGCCACAAAACTCACACGTGTCACTACGCCGACCATCCTTGGAGCTTGGTCGACCAGTTTGGGGTGTACTGGCCCTACTTCCAGTGCCACTGCGCCCAGAGGCCGTCCCTCCATCCAACTCCCCAGGGGGAGTGGAGAACCTGAGACTTCCATTCTCCGAAGAGTGCTCTGAAGAGGTGGCGAAAGGTGATTGTCTTGAGTCCCCAAAGCTGAGGAGAGGATCCTTGAGCTGGCGCGAAGCGGCATATCCGGCCAGCCACTGAGAGTACACGTTTTCTGAGTTGGGGATTGTAGGAGTTGGAGGATCAAGGTCTTTTTCCACTTTGATGCGTTTGGAAAGAGGGCTGTCAGATCCTGGACTTCTGGCAAGAAGTTTCCTCGAGTGGTCTTCGTTTGGGTAGGAGGCTGTTCCGTTCACGATTTGTCCGTATCTCTCGTTGACTTGATCAGACTCTTTTGGGGAATCGTCACCACCTGTCTCATTAGCTGATCTGCGGTCCCCTTGTTTGTAAAGTTTAAGGGCATCTCGAAAGTCCTGAATTCCCTCCACACTTTTGTTGTGTCGCTGTCTATTGTTCTCATGGTGACGTGCACCTTCTAGGCTCAAGCTAAAGTTTATATCATTCCTCTCGCCGACCTCACTCTCATTCTCCTCCTCCTCCTCCTCCTCTTCTTCCTCCTCCTCCTCCTCCTCTTCCTCTCCTTCCTCTTCTTCATCTTCCTCATCTTCCTCTTCTTCATCTTCCTCCTGACCATTTTCTGGTATCAGGCCGTTGTTCTCACTTTTAAACTTAGCCACCACAGATTTGAGCGCATTGGTGGCACTGCTTATCAAATCACTTGTGCCTGGCTCAGGTGAACTGGCAGTTGAAAGGCCATCATCTGATTTGGACGTAGTGGAGGAGGATTTGTGCCGGTGAGTCTTCATGTGGCGTTTCAACTTGCTGGCCTGAGTGCAGGCATGGTTGCAGAGGTGGCACTTGTAAGGTTTCTCTCCGGTATGACTGCGCCTGTGGACGATTAAGTTGCTCTGGAACTTAAAAGACTTTCCACAAAACTCACAAGACTTTGCCTTCACAGTTGGCATGGTTGGCGTTTGCTCAGTGGGTGTTGAATGAGGTCCAGAAGGAGAATGAGATGCCCCTGGCTGAAATGGCTGCAGCAGCCGTTGCATTGGGCTAGGCCTGTTGGGCGACATGGGCGGAGAGGAGCCAGCAGAGTTGCCTGCAAGTTCCCGTAGTCGTCTCGAGAAGTCCATAGATGGGGAGTCCAAGGGTACCGAATTAAGACGCAGTACCCTGTCAAAGGCGCTTGGGTGATGGGGGGCCAAAGCCAGATCATCTGGGCTCATGTGGTGCCGTGGTGGGGGACTAAAGAGTGGAGGTGTCCTGGGATATCGGCCTTCCCTAGGAATCGAGGACGCATCTCTGTTGGCTATCCTCATCAGGCTATAGGGACTAGTGTCTGCAAGGTGGGCTGTATGCAGCGGTGGCTGTGAGGCACAGTCACCACCCATGCCTGGAGCGGAGGCCACTCGAGGAGTTAACGGGCTTCCAGGTTCGCTCTCCAGATATATTCGGAAACCATGAGTGTTCTGGGCATGCTGTAGTAGGAACCAAGCAGTGCTGAAGGGCTGCTTACAAGTTGTGCAAGTGTAGCTGCTGGGCTCATCTTTTTCTGCAAGACATAAGCAGATGGAAAAATTCAGTTGTCATTCAGAAAATGTTCCTCCTCCACAACAAAAGCTCAGTAAGAATTCACAATAGAAAGGCAGCAAGAAAGTACAAATTGATCAGACACATTAACCAGCACATTTATTACAAGGACAATTCCTTTGGAGTAACCAGTGTCAATGTACCTTTCTCAGGGGCATAATGGTAACAGCACATGTCTTGTTTCTGGTAGAGCTCAAACCAGTAACCTTTCACTTTCTAACCTAGAGCTTTAGCCACTACATCCATCATCCAAATCCATGCTGTTTAACAGTTCATAATATGATTCATGTAGTCAGAAATGGTCTGAAAACATTGTTATTATTTATACAGTTATGCTCTTGCCTTAATATTTTGACATAATAAATCCCAACAGTAAATTCTAAACTCAACCTGCTGAAAATGGAAGGGAGTTCAGTTTCTGCACGAACATCATTTCAAATATCAACAGCCTCGCCTGTCTCTGAGATATCTGACACAAAGGCCAGAGAGAACAAAAAACCTGTACCCAATCAAAACACTTTTTATTGCATAAGAGATGCAAGAGGAGGCTGGTAAATTATGGATCATTACAATCTGCAAAAATTACAGTTAATTGCAGCCACCTGTGTGGGGTTTGACCTCCTCTGGAGATTTTTCCGTCATAAAAAGGCAACTCTCTTTGCCTGCTTTTTCTCATGCTTACTCCAATTAAATAATTTACCATTATCACATGAATCATACAAGAAGACCAATGCTTATATTTTAATATTTTAAAATGACTAGCATAGCAAATTCAGAACTGTTGATTTCTCACAATCTTACGTAATATCTATATGGTAATTCTTGCTTGATTATGATTTCCAAAAACATAACTAGCATACTGTGTTGAGGATTTCCAATGTACATGACAAAAAAATAAAATGGATAAAGGTGTAACCCATTTCCTGTCTTTTAACAGCTTATTAAATGGAACTTTTGGTAGGGATCCAAGCTCATTTAAACTTAGATGTAAGTTTGTTTGGTTTTTTGATGTAAAAAGAGGTCTCGAACTCAGGTGTGTACCAGCAGCAAACAACACCCAAATCCACTTCAAAAGAGGTACAGTTCATGTTAACCGATATGAAAGCAATCCACCCTAACTAGGGCAATGAACTAATTGTTGCATTGTTCACATTCTTTGTATGTCTTGCAATGCATTTGCAGCAGATAAAAAGCTGTTTCATTCTGTGTAAAGTTAGTGGTAAATCCAACAAGACAAATACAGTGGTGGCCCAAAATAAAATGTGAAAGAAGTGCTGGGCAGGGGGAAGGTGGTAGAAATCAAACCCAAGTTCGGACCAGGCAATCAAACCAAGGCAATGAAAACAGCCTAAAATAAGGTAAGTGTTCTCCTTAGACATATAATCATCCTGCGTCACTGACATTTAAAACACCCACCTCACCAACAGCAGCTATTACTTGGTGGCCTTGTCTGAGAGGGCGACTTATTGATTACTTTTAACCTTGTTCCTCTCAGCACATAGCCGACAATCACATTTTCTTTGGTGATATGCTAAAAGGTGAGGGGAGGGGAGGTATGGCAGAACAATTTGTCGGCGTTTGAGATTTTAAGAAAAGGATAGAAAAGAACTGTTTTGCGTCTGCTTGGAAAATTAGCAAAATACCCTCTTCTAGGATAAATCAAAGATTTCTAGGCATTTTTATGTTATTATTTTTAGTATTATATAATTCCATTCATATCAAACAAAAATCTTGGGGCAGTCAGTTTTTTTTTTCTCACTTTCTTGCTCTCTTTTTCTTTCGGTTATTCTCTCTTTGTTCTGGTCAGACTCATTGTGTTGCACTGAGCGCCTGACCACAGACAAAACCCTATTTGACTTCAAGGACAGAGTGGTGTGCAGGACATTTTTATTGCTCTACAATCTATTTGGAGAGCAATCACACTTCTAACTTTTTGTCTTCTTTTGAGGTATAAGACTTTCACAAACTCCCATCGGTTTACTTTTTTTGGGCTTGTTTACACTTTTTAGTTGTTTACACATTTTTTGCACAAGGTTTATTATCTATTTGATACATATGAGCTGTGTTTGAACTGATCAGAGCAAATAATCAATACATTATACAATATATATTTGAAGATCTGACGTTTGTAAAGAGTTGCACTTTAGGTTACATCAGGGATCTGAGCGGAGCACCACATGCAAGTAACAGCACATGTGCTCCTCAGACCCTTTAATATACAGTCCTTGTCCTAAATACACACAGATAAGCATTAATGTGAAACCAAAAACTTGAACTTTGTACTTAAAGGACCAAGATCAGAACATCTGACACCGTAAAAACATTCAAGATTTAATATTTGAGGTTCATGAGGCGATGAGGCTACAACTACGCATAATTTACCAGAAAATAATTACACTTCACTCAAGCATCTGTGCCCTCACACCTGACCCGAGTTTAATCTAGACATGATTATTCTCATATTCAAATCAATGTAATGAAATGGTCCAAATGCCATATGGATACTCCAGGGACAAGGTGAGAAAACCATGCTTGGTCACAAGAAAGAATGCGCTCATCAGGCAGCTGGTATATTCTTGTCAGTACCCATAAACATGTGTTGGCCCAAGTGTTTAATTTCCAGTGTTCTCAATACCAGCGCTGGACACACACCCTACCCCCCACTGTAAATTGAAAGTGTCTGAGGGGGTTGAGGAGGGTAGCCATCTTGGAACGGGGCCTCTCATAGAGCGCCAAGCAATGGGTCAGCAGTCACCTTAGCAACGCACATTAAAGAGGCGGACAGACAAAAAGAAGTTGACCAGACGGAGAGGTGAAGGGGATGGCGTTTAAAGCCCACAGACGGGCGGAGGGTTCGACTGGGGGAGGTGACAGTCTGAGAAAAAGAAAGAGGTTTGGGAAAGATGAACTAGACTAGTCTGCACAGGGCAGAGGTGGAAGTTTTGTTAGCACACGAGACTGTCCCACAGACAGAGCAAACACTGACGATAGAAAACCAGAGAAGAAAGGAATGTGAGGTTGAGACAGTTTGACTCTGACTCCAGCAAGCATCTACAAGTAATAATCTCGTTCTTATGAAATACTTAATGGAAAATGGTTAGTTCTGACTCTAAAATCTGACAGATTTAGCCACGTTCAAAACTGTTGTAAAACAGTAAACATTAATGCGCCAGTTGCTACAAACCATGAAAGATTTTCCACTAGCTTTGTATCGTTACATAAAATAAATAAATTATATTTTGTTTAGAGAAATCTTTAAGTTTTATATATATATATATATATATATATATATATATATATATATATATATATATATATATATATATATATATATATATATATATATATATAGATATATAAACGTTAAGTAAAATATCAAGACACATTATGTACAGATAATGTAGGGGAAAATATGCTTACCGTATATATAATTTAAGAAATAAAAAAAAATCATTATGGTCCTGAAGTAGCTTAATTTTCTTTATGAAAACTATAATTTCTTATATGCTAACTGGCCATTTTTGCGGTAAAATAGCAAATAGTTTTGAGATTCATGCTACAACTGTAACCAGCGAGTAAATCCTAACTAGGTGTATGTAAAATCCTAACAAGGCATGATAAAGCAGTGAAAAAGCATATTTCATGTCAATCTTTTGAGTTTTTGTCTAAACCAGACACAACCAGGACAACCATATGACTTTTTGTCAATTTTTTGAGTATCCCTGCATCAAGAAATGTCATTGGTCCAAAGTCCTGCTCCACACAACTGTACATTAATAATTAAATATCTGATATTGTCGTTGGTAATAACTCTGGTGTTGAGTGGCTTACTGCTTTATTTAGAACTGTTACTGAAAAGCGTTCCTGAAATTCCATTAACACAGATGGCCTTCTGCACTGATGAACAGTGTACAATGAGGGGTCCAGTAGCTCTAAACTTCACCACCATACCAACATTTCCACACTGCTCAACAAAGATTATTTCAAGTCATCCGGCTCCTTTCTTTGCATTCTCCTGATCTATGAGAGGACTACAAGCTTAAATGGGCATGTGATAGTCAGGCCTAGTGAGAGGACTCATTCAGGAAGCCACCCTAAGGCAGAGCGCTGGTACTGGGACCAGTACAAAAAGACCAGTGTTCCCAATTCACATTACAGCCACAGGGTCAATTTTTAAGGCTTCCCATCTGGCGCATCTTGGACACAAGTGATGTAGTAAATCAAGCTAGGATTAAACAGTTTGATTTCTGCTATGGTATATCAACTGTTAAATATACAAAGACAACTATGAAAGTCATTTATGGTTTGATTTGCCCAAAATGCTATTGCATTGCTATCTCAACCACTAGTGGGAGTTTGAGACTTTTAGTCTCCCTATTTGTCCAACCAATAGGTGATGGACAAAGTTTTGTTCTTGCAGTGCCGTTTGCTTATGCTAGCGGCACACCTTATTTATAAGCTAAAGGTCAAGCTGAAACTGAAGTTAACAGGTTAAGCTGAAAAGCCATGTTAGTGTAACTGATTTCGACATTAGCTACAGGAGGTGACTTTGAGAAAGGGGGGCTGTGAAAGCCAAAAGCAGCTGTTACACTCAAGTAGACATAGTATTACTACCCTTCCAACATTAACTCAAATGTAATGGCGCTAACACACGCTGAACAACCCGAAACATAACATTTACCATCAATAAGCTTCTGTAAGATGGATGCACTGATCACTTGGGTAAGACAGGCCACACTCACCCCAATTCTTCATTTTGTCTGACATCAAGCTGGATTCCGGCTCTCTGCTTTGCTACTTAATTGGATACATATGTTCTGATCTGCATCGCGGTATGGTAGCAGATGGGAGAGTTCTGCAAAACGCCACTGCTTTTTGAGCATCAATGAGGAGACTGGTAAAAAGTCAGTGAATTTTGAAACAAATGCCTTGTCCCAACCAGGTTCAACATGCAGGTTTCCT